CCTGAGCAAGAGTGGAACCCTGTCTCTACTAAAAATAGAAAAATTAGCCAGGTGCCTGTGGTCTCAGCTATTTGGGAGCCTGAGGCAAGAGGATCACTTGACCCTAAGAGTCTGAGGTGCTGTGAGCTAGGCTGATGCCAGCACTCTAGTCTGGGCAACAGAGTAAGACTCTGTCTCAAAAAGAAAAAGTCATTGGCTTTGTCATTTTATTCTGTATATCTCTTATACGCAGTTAACAATATGAATAAGTAGACCATCGACGCACGCTCCTTGGTCATGTTAGAGATTGAGAGTGATCCTATCCAGGTGCAGGGGTCCATTCCGGTGCACATGGCACTCAGCCAAGCATCTCATACACATCTCTTCTGATCCTCTCAACAGCCTAGCAAAGGAGCTACTCTTACAGATCTTTCCGAGAAGGAAACTAAAACCAAAAGAGGGTAACCTACATGCTAAAGGATGTGTAGCTAAAAAATAGAGGAGTTGGGATTTAAGCCTCAGTCATAAACTTCAGAACTGCAGAAGGGACCTTGATCAGCAGCGCCCTCTGAATAACCCGGCACCTGCTGAAATGAAGAGCCTGGTCTAGGATGTCCCACCAGTTGCAGGTAGAGCTGAGAAGCCATCTCCTGATTCCCTACCAACACCTTTCCCACTGTATCCCTGGAGACATCTCCTACCACCGCCAAGGCTTGTCCAGATCCTCTTCTGCATGCGTAGCAAATCTAAGTGTATGTGGGAAACATGAGGATAATACCCTCTGAGAGGCTTGCGGGGGCTCCTGGAGCCCCATGTGACAGCTTAACAAATAAGTGCAAAGGCAAGGAATTAGAAGACAGAGTTTAGCTGAGACTGAGTGGGCAGCCACAGTCTTGTCCTCTGGGTGGCGCTGACCCAAAAGGCATACACAACAGACAGTATGAGTCAATGACTACCTGACATATATCAAAGATTAATTTATGCTTTAAACTTTCCCCTCAAATAAATTGGTACTCAGAATAGTATAGTTCAGAGTTCAAAATGAATCAATTTGGCCATTCTTCTGACAGGAGGGTGGCCTCCATGTCAAGAAGCACTGGAGTTTGGAGGTTTTACAATACCCATAGATCAGGCGTGATTACGGCAGGAATTACTGCAGCCATGGTGGTTGTATTGTTCGACCCAAGGCCCTTTTGATGCTTTTAGAAAGCCAAACCACTCTAGGAGCCAGTGGAATTTAGGGGGACACGGGTGGATGCTTCAGAGTCACATCCTGGGTAATAGGTGAGAGTTCCACAGAGGAGAGGGCTCAGACGGGACCTCACCATATTTTCTTTTCCCATGCCAGTGAGCTCCCCACATATCCATGAGGAAAAGGGACACTTTGGGTTTTGGTGGGGAGGCAAGGGCTGATGAGAGACGTAATGCTTAACACATCCAGTGTGCATGGAAGGGTGGCAGCAGGGGCAAGTGGAAAGGGAGAAAACAGGTTCAAGTTTCTCTCCCGTCCATATTAGCTTTGTGACACAAAGTGTGTCCTTAACACTCCCTGGGCCTGAGTTTCCTAGTCTGTAAAATTGTGGTAACAGATTGGGAGTAAAAGCTAAGTGCCTGAAATAGGGCGTTTGAAAGGGCATTTGAAAGAGTGATTATTGTTCCTCTGTCGACGTGAGTTTTCTACTTCAACTGGGGCATTTCTCCTATTGGCCCAGCCCTGGTTCTCCTCTAGTGCCCTGCAAATGGGTCCAGAAAGCATGTGCGCTGGCTGTTCACTCTGGGAGCAGGACCTCGGGAACCTTCACAGTCTGCTGCTTCTGATTCCTCCCTGCAGCGAAACATTAATCCTCAGGACTTTTCTTTTTAAAAAAAGCTAAAGAAAGCACCAGAGGACACTGCAGTTCCCTTTGGGAGTCTGAGCACTCTTTCTGTGTCCTGAGGTTTGCGCCCCTGTGGCCTGGAGTCAACAAGCCACACTGAGCTTTGCTCTGACTCTGCCCACAGCTAGCCCATCTGGAGCAGGGCATCAAGTCCTGGCCTGCACTCACAAGTACAATTAAGAATAGTGTCTTATAGAAGCTGTTAAAGGCAGAGTATGATTTGGATCTCATCATATAAAACAGTCTTAAGCAGTAAAGTGGTGGTGACTTGAGTCATTAATTTGTCATTTTAAAGCATTTGCTGTTCTGAGCAAAGAGAAATTCCTTTGCAAATACATATGGCAAAAACCACATCCACAAAACTTTAAATCTTTTTTTTTAATTTTTATTAAATCATAGCTGTGTACATTAATGCAGTCATGGGGTACAGTGTACTGGTTTTATATACAATTTGAAATATTCTCATCAAACTGGTCAACATAGCCTTCATGGCATTTTCTTAGTTATTGTGTTAAAACATTTATATTCCACATTTAGAAAGATTCGCATGTACCCTTGTAAGATGCGCCATAGCTGTGGTCCCACCAATCACCCTTCCTCTACCCATCCTCCCCCCCCTTCCCCTCCCTTTCCTCTCCCCTTTTCCCATATCCTTGGGCTATAATTGGGTTATAGCTTTCATATGAAAGCTATAAATTAGTTTCATAGTAGGGCTGAGTACATTGGTTACTTTTTCTTCCATTCTTGAGATACTTTGCTAAGAAGAATATGTTCCAGCTCCATCCATGTAAACATGAAGGAGGTAAAATCTTCATCTTTCTTTAAGGCTGCACAATATTCCATGGTGTACATATAGCACAATTTATTGATCTATTCATAGGTCGATGGGCACTTGGGCTTCTTCCATGACTTAGCAATTATGAATTAGGCTGCAATAAACGTTCTGGTACAAATATCTTTGTTGTAGTGTGATTTTTGGTCTTCTGGATACATACCTGGTAGAGGAATTACAGGATCAAGTGGCAGGTCTATTTTTAGTTCTCTGAGTGTTCTTCAAACATCTTTCCAAAAGGAACGTATTAGTGTGCATTCCTACCAGCAGTATAGAAGTGTTCCCTTTTCTCCATATCCATGCCAGCATTTCTGGTTTGGGATTTTGTGATGTGGGCTAATCTTACTGGAGTTAGATGATATCTCAAACTTTTGATATCTCAAAAGTGGTTTTGATTTGCATTTCTCTGATGATTAAAGATGATGAGCATTTTTTCATATGTCTGTAGGCCATGTCCCTGTCTTCTTCAGAGAAGTTTCTCTTCAAGTCCCTTGCCTACCCTGAGATGGGATCACTTGTTCTTTTCTTGCTAATACGTTTGAGTTCTCTATGGATTCTTGTTATTAAACCTTTTTCGGAGACATAACCTTCAAATATTTTCTCCCATTCTGAGAAACTTTAAATCCTAAAGTATTCATAAACTCTTTATGATAAAAGTCTTATAAGCCTCTATGTTTGACTATCACTTTAATGAAAGTTAATATGACTTCTATTTCACTGTATGAGAAGGCTATGAAGTAGAGGTGGACCCAGCAGGAGTGAGTGTGGGGGTTTGTTTGTTTTTGAAGAACCAGTTATGAGAAAACACTGGGGTGCCCATCACAATAGAGAAGCAAAAACATCAAAAGGGATTGCTTTTTGAGTGTCTTTTAAGATTTCTCTTTGTCTGACCACTGGAATTTTAGTTGTGGCTTGAACAGACTGACTCTTAGTTCTCCACTGCTTTCTCTAGCATCTTTCCATCAGTCTTGACGTGTTGGTTTAAACATAAATGAAAGCGTCTTTTTACAGGTGCCACTCTTGGAGAGTGAGCAAAGAGGTCCCAGCTATTCCCTCGCTTTCCTTCCTGGTCTGAACCCTCTTGCCCACCCACCCTTCCCACTAGGCCACTGCTGCTAGAGCTGCACCAGGCCCCAGGAAACAGGGAGAAGTGTCGGAGCTGTCCCCTGGCATAGAACTTAGGATCCTGATAGGAGAGAGAAGAGGTGTGCCCAGGTGGCTAAGCTTCTGGCAGGGTGGGTGACTATTGAAAGGATAACCAAACTGTGCTAGAAAGTGGAAGAGTTTGAACTGGGAGGAAGTCCTTCCCCCCCAGGGGTGGGCGTGGCCATGCATTAGAAGAACAAGACTTGTGATTGGCGTAGGAGAGGGGAGAGGGACTTTGAGGGCAAATTAACAGGGCTGGTAAAGCCATAGAAGTGGAAAGATGCAGGCTTTTTGGTCCACATGCTTAAAAGTGAACCTGCTATTTACCCCTATCTGTCGGCGATGCTTCTGCCTGGTTACCTATTGGGGAATATTGAATCTCTTTCATTATATTTAGGTGGCTTGGTCCTTGAGATTGGGGCTATATAATTTTATTTCTTTACTACTGCCCATGATGCTTAGGAGAATGTTTTATGTAGTAATTGAAATGCTCCTATCATCACAAACTATATTTCCGATATGTTTGTAGCTTTAAGAAATCTTTTTAGTAATACTTTCTACAGTCCTTCACCCGACCTTTAAATATTAGGTGTCCATTTTTGTCAGCCTGCCCAGATATTGATCAGCATGACAAGTCCACTCCAGCTCTAGGGTTCACCTACCTCATGGGTGCCCGAGTGCTCCAATCAAGCTTAATTCTCTTGGCCGAGGCAGCCAGAGGCAGCAGGTCAGAGGGAGGAAAGGAAGGACCCAAGGGCTGATCAGGGAAAGTCAGCCCTGACTTCTCATAGTTGGTGGGGAATTTAGTAGAGGTGGTGACAAGTTCTATCTGGGCATTTAAAAAACAAAAACAACAATAAGCCATTGAGATATTATGTAAGTTTAAATGATGCAAATTATGGAACATGATAGAAAGAAAAAGAGAAGTGAGAGGATTAAATAGAAGTTTCAGAATGAGTCAAATTAGACTCCTGGACTGAGCCACACTAAAAATATTTACTTGATGTTAAAGGTGAAATGTTTATTATATTTCTGATTTGTGTTAAAATTAAGATGGCACCAAAGCGATCATTTTATCCCCTTGGAATCCTGGGGAACAAATGCCTTGTAAATGTCAGAGCGATGGAGAGGCAGTGTTTGATTGGTCCTTTTGTTCTTCACTACAGGAAATAGTAGAAGTAGCCCGCCGCCCTATGGGTTCCGTCTCTCGCCAGAGGAAGAAATGAGGAGACAGCGGCTTCACAGATTCGACGGCCAATGAGGTGGCAAAGCGTCTTGGGAAGACGTGGTCCAGTCGTGTAATTACTGCCCATTTGGTTCACTCCCCAAGCCCCTTATTCATTTTAAGCAAAAGCAGAGTACACAGTCATTGCTCCAGATAGCTCCCATCTGCCTCGGACACCTTGCGTCCCCGTGAGTCTAGATTCTCAAGCAGATGACCCGCTGTGCAGCTGGACCTGCTGAATGCGGCACGCAGCTCCCTGGGAGTGGTCCTTCTCCTGGCCTCATTCTCTGCCACGCACAGGTCACTTCCTCAGTGTAGGGACCAGTGTCCACACTCCTTTCTCTCACTGCTGACTCTGCTCTGCCTTACTTTCGAAGATTGTGACCTTCACCAGGAGGCTTCATTTCACCCGTGGGGAAGCTCAGCCCCACTTTCTGCCCAGAGTGCCTGGTGTTTGACTTGGCAGGAGGTGAGGAGCCATCCCCTCACCCTCCTGGAATGATGCCATGGTGGCTGTCCAGGAACAGGATGTGGCTACCTGGCAGGATTTTGTCCTGTTCGTCCTCACTGGGGCACCTCAGCTCCTCGGGCCTGAGGAGGAGCGTCTGGGGGCGTTAAGAGCACACACTTTGCTCTTGGATCGTCCAGCTTGGTAGATGTTTGAACAGCGTAAGGAAGGTGCAGAAAATGCCTGCACATGTTGGTAGATACCAGGTGGCGCCAGCAGGCTACCTTCATAGCCACCCCTCCAGTGGCAGTATGTGTACCCGGGAGATCTATCGAATCAGCAAAGTAGCAACAGGTGCCACATGCACAGAATGGAGCAAAGGCATTCAGTGGCTTGCTCACTCTAAATTTTTCTTACAGGAGGTATTTTTCTTTTTCCTCATAAACGTGCCTCTTAATTGGCCACTATAACAGCCACCTTTTCTGGCCAAGTGTTCCAAACATGCCCTGGGCCCTGCAGTGTTCTAATCTGCACATTGTATGTCCAAGTAATTTAAGGAGTTTCCTGGTGCTTGTGTCTCATGAATAAAAGGACAAAGTCAAAACATCACTGATATCTTATTGTCACAAAAGTATTTATTTTTAAAGAGAGTTAGAAACAGAATAGAATCTTCCTTTTAACATGTATCTACCTTTGATAAATAGTTTTATGATTATGAAAGTAATAGGTAAGGCTTCTGTATGCATAAAGCAAACATCTGGAAGGAAATAAACCCAGGTGCTAACAGAGGTTATCTTTGGGGGTAGAGTACATGGGATTTTTCTTTCTGCTTTTTTACAATTTTATACTGCTGTTTTTGAAAACCATATGTGTGTCTGTGTATTACTTTTGGAATCAGAAAAACTGACTTATAATAAATACTATGTAGCCAGGTGCAGTGGAGTGTGGCTATACTTTCAACTATTTGGGAAACTGAGGTGAGAGAATCACTTGAGCCCAGGAACTTGAGGTTAGCTTGGGCAATATAGCAAGATCCCATCTCTTTAAAAAAAAGTACTGTGTGTTTATTGAGAAAGCTAACAATATAAATAGAAATGTAAATAATTACATACACAATTTTTAATTTACCTATATTCCCACCAATTAAAGGTACCCAGAGTTAACATTTTGGGGAATTGCCTTCTCAATTTTTCTTTGTACACATTTGACAAATTTGAAGCATCCTGAATGTGCAGTTTTATATCTAGTTCCCACTCTGCATTCACCTGGGAGAGGCCTTGACACTTACACGTAAATGGGCTAAGAAACCACCAAAGTTCTGGGAGCACTCTGATCTCTGGGCTGGCACAGTGATCCTTAAGCTCTTTGGTTAATTTCTAATTGATGTAAACCTACAGCTTGTTTAATTTACTTGTGAATCTAGTACTTTTAACCATTTTTAAGTTAAAATATTCAATGTCCCTGTCCCTCCTTTCTTCTACTCTTTCTATATAAATGTGACTCCCATTACCCCAACTAGAAATAGCTTCTTTCTTACATGCCATCTTTTTATAGCACGTGATGCTTCTGTTATAACATTTAATGTCTTGCCCTTATTAATTTGTGTGCAACTACAGAAACTACAGAAAGATGTAGTTGTACACAAATTAAGATTTTCCCTTCTACAGGGGAACATGGCTTGTGAACGGCTCTGTAATGAGGCCTGTGTCTTACTTCCCTTCCTCCTTTCTCCCCATCTTCCACCTTCACCACCCAGCGGTTGGGCCAAGGATGGGCCTCCCCATCCTGTCGCAGACTGAGGCCTTTATGAGAGACCACAGCCCAGCTTGTTAAGTGCTACTTTCCCACCGAGAGTTTTTCACTTGTACTGCACTCCAGTCACTTAATATGGGAATATTTTATTTACATTTTATATTGCTTAGTCCATTTAGTGCATCCTTGCTGTATTTGACGTAACAGTATGAATACACTGGAATTAGATTTTGGATGGTAAAATAGTATAATATGTGCGGCTTCTTTGTTTATGGAGTAGAACATTTCTAAACTTTTAGTGTTGTGGGAAAGGTCATTTTACTTATAAATATAAACCAGTTATTTTAGTACAACAGTAAAGATGTTCTGGAAGTTATTATAATTAAGTTCATAGGCTTGCCTGTAACAATTGCTTATTGTTTTCAATGTTCGTTTTATTTTCTTTTTCTCTACAACAAGGAATCCCCAAGTTATGGCAACAAACTAGAATTGGGTTGAGAAAGACAAACAAAAGCAAGTGAGCAAATGTATTAGACTAATTGTCTCTAACAGGAAATAGGCACTTAGAACTGATTTTTGAATTTGGTTTCTTCTCTGAATAGTAGCTTCCCAACAGTTAAGGACCCAATTCCCACTGTTTGGTGTGACCAGTCAAACTTAGGGACCTCCTTATTCACAATCTTTTCTGGGTTCTGAAGAGAAGAGAAGAATTAAATTTGCTTCCTCTTATGACTTTGAACATATTGCCCATGATTCCAAAGTCGTACATAATGGCTCAAAGCTCCCCAATCCTTTAAAAATTTCCCACTGGTGAAGCTCAAACTAAACCGTAAATAACCAGCGTTAGTAGAATTGGTGCAGGTCTGTCTCCACATTTGGTACATGTACGGTTGCCTGAGGAATGAGTAAACTGAGAGAACGAGAGAGGCCTCCCCAAAGTGGATTGTGAACTTGGCCTCCCTGTTTTTCTTGAGAGATTCAGTATTCAGTAAAGAATTGTATCCAGGCCAGGCATGGTGGCTCACCCTATAATTCTAGCACTCTGTTTGGCCAAGGCGGGTGGATTGCTCAAGCTGAAGAGTTTGAAACCAGCCTAAGCAAGAATGAGACCTCATTGCTATTTGAAATAGAAAAAATTAGTCTGGCATTGTGGTGGGCACCTATAGTTCTGCTACTCAGAAAGGTAAGACAAGAGGATTGCTGAAACCCAAGAGTTTGAGGTTGCAGTGACCTGTGACACCACAGGACTCTACTCAGGACAACAGAGTGAGACTCTATCCCAAAAAGGAAAAAAAAAAAAAAGGAAGAAAAAAAGAAGAAAAGGAAAAGCAAAAAGAATTATAATCAGTTTGTTGTAAAAACCAAAACTATTGTTTTTTCCTTTCCCTTCCCCTGTATCATTGAAGTCATTTCCTAATTTTCTTTTCTCTCTTTTTTCTTTTTTGGGACCCCTAATAATTCATTTTAAAGTCACAGACTCTCAGCTTAAAAGGACCTTAAAATCTTTCAATTCATTGCTTTGCTCAATACTTAAAATACCTCTTCACACAGTTCCACATGACTCTGCCAAGTTAGTGTTCCAAAATCCACTTTAATGATACCACTAATCATCTCACATACCTTCTATTGTCTCTCTGTTGCCAAAGGATAAAGGTCAAAGTTATTAGCTCAACAGCGGGCCTCCAACCAGCCTTTGGACCTCATCCCCGTTTATCCATAGCCGAGTCTGCTAATGGGTCTCAGCACCCCAGCTACGAGTGTTTCTGATCCTGTGACACACTGTGCTGTGCTTTTCCATGGAGCAGCATGGTCCTTTCGTTGGGCACACCCAGGGCCTCCCATCCTGCCCCTGACTGAGGCCTTCATGAGACACCACAGCCCAGGATGCTCCCATCCCCACCAGATCTACAGGTTTCTGTGTACCACTTGGAAGTGCTGGTTGTCCTGCTGTGAGAGAATGAACATCTTGTCTGTAGACCGTAAGCTTCATAAGGGCAAGATCCAGACCCGTGTTTCTGTCTCTCTTCACAGTGCCTTGAACAGTGCTTTGTCTCCAATGTTGGAACCAATAAATACTTGTGGACGGAAACAGAGAGGAGCTCATTTATACCATCACCAAAAGGATACACGAACACATTAGCCTGTTGCTTATTGATATTATGGTAGGATTTTTTTTTCTTGAATCACATCAAGAAAAGAATAATTTGAAGGAAAGCATTTTCTCGTAGAAATGGAGATGTTTGGGTCTTATCCAAGTCTTACGAGATGTCATGCTTACTGAGTAGATGATGGGGAGATGTGCACCAACCTTGCATCTCAATCTGAAGACACATCCCACTTCACTGAATGCTATGACCAAGGACACAGCACTCAAGATTCCAACATGACTGAAGAGTCTCACCAACGAGTCTCTGTAAATACTGAATCTGACCATTGTGCTTTTTACAAGGCTATATTTGATATGGCTGATATTTTATCTTGTAGTATTTAGGGTCAGGGAGAAAATGATCTTGACATCTTGGTCAGATGGCAGAGATGAACTGACACATTTGGATATATGCTTTATACCTTGTCAGGGAAAACTGAAACTTTGTTAAGAGAAATCATTAAGTTTGGCCTCCAGATCCTTCTTTCTCCAACTCAGAACAGTTCCCCTAAGTGGCTGACCTTGGGCATCTTGGGGATCTAGAGCCTCGCTGGTTTTCAGTTGAGATATAGTCCTTCTGGGATTCCCCCAAACAGCTCTGGCCTCATGGATTCCCCACCCCCATGCCTCCAGAACATCTTAAGACTTTCTACAGACTCAGCTAGATGACCTGTCATAGAAGCCACAACAATGGGCTTTATGATGATAGCAATTCAGTGTATGGGACTGACCCTCTATTTTCTAACCAATCCACAAATGGGGAAATAATGGGGAAATCTATTATGTTACATACTTTATTTTGATTTTGTTTTTAGCATTTCCCTTCAGGAACTATGTAAATTATATTTAAAATGGAAATAAAGTGAGAAAAAGAGGTGCTGGAATAATGAGTAAGAGCATTGTCTTTAGTGATCCACAGACCAGGGTTCAAGTTCTACTAGGTATTGGCTGTAGGATCTTGAACAAGTTACTTATTCTCTCTAAATCCTGGTTTCCTTGTCTATAAAATAGGACAGTTGTGGGGTTAAAAGGGAGAACACATATAGTAGGGTTGATACAGTGCTATAGTAGGTTCTCAAGGAATGTTAGTTAAATATCCTGATTTCTCCAGCAGGTAAGAAGTTGGACCAAATACCATTAAAGTGCCTTCCTAATTCAAAAGAGTAAGTTCATGAAACAGATAGTGAATATCTGTACTCCACCTGTCCCCATGCCTGGTAAGGTATGGGGCTACAAGGGAAATACCACATATAAGCAATACATAACCCCTGACTCCAAGTACTATGGTTATAAGTAATAATATCTTAGATTTTGTATCTCCTTGTGGTTAACTTTTGCACCTTTGATCCTCAAAGCAAATCTGTGAAGCCAGTGATCTTATTCTTACTCAACTGATGAGATAATTGAGGCCCAGAGGGTGTGAGCTACATGCCCACTGTCCACTGCTCAGGAAACTCAAATGGGCTTGATGCAGACCTTGTGCTCCTAAGGCTGGTTTCATTTCTCTTCTGCAATCAATCATTGTGGATAAAACAATGCTTCCCAGAGCTTCAGAATCTCATCCTATCCAACCTACGCTCTTCCCTCCTGTATATCACACTCCTACTATGTCACATTTCAAGGATGAGCCACAATACAAGGTAGGTAAACCTACTTTGGTTTGAAAGAAAATACACCAGGCAAAACACAGTTGTTTCTGGATGTCATCGCAGAATTTCTTATATACAGTGGGCCATATTAGGTATCAT